CGTCTTGTATAGCGATAGTTAAGCCCTCATTATTAATAGCGTCTCGGCGGAAGCGTTTCTTTGCCCGCGGGAAAGTAGGAGGCTTTGAGCAACGCCAGCCAACGGGTGATAATTAGTAGTCCCAGATCCCCGGCCAAGCTCTTCTCGATTCGTCCCAAATCTTCCCGCTGACGAATGTGCGTCCTGTAGTGCAATGAACGAGGGCCTTCACGTAGGCCAAGCGTTAATTTTTTTCAGCTCATCGTTTTGATTTCGATCTTGTGTTCTTTTCAGGACAAACAAGATAAGAACCATCAGAAAGGTGACTTCATGTTCCACACGGAGCATGTGGTCGAGTTAGTTGCCAAGCTGTTGGTGCAAGCAGAATCCCAACAAGACATGTCTGCCGCCGTTCATGTTTCAGAAAGGTAAAAACGGGAATGGATTCTAATAAGGGGTTGGCCTTGAAAAAAGGTGATCAGGAACCATGGATTCCTGAGACAGTTTGGTCTCATCTAGTCTCTGGATTTCTTGATGAAGGAAGTAGTTATTTGAGGAGACTAATCGGTAGGAAAAGGTATTAAAATTTTGAGTGCGAACCTTTAAAACAGACTTATCTTCCCTCATAACGTTAAGTCATGACGCGTGCACTTGCGCTTTGTTGTGTCGCATTTCATTATATCAATATGTTTTTTTCCTTTTTAGGATCGCTGTGAATTTTTCTGAAACTCCGGTCGAGCTGCACTTCAAACGCGCAGACAAAGATCTTCCTCAACCGCTATTGTGTAAAAGAAAAGGAGCTGTTATAGATGTCTTAGTTTGATTATTTTCTTAACAAATCGTACAGTATTAGTTTGGTTTTTGCCATATCCACCTTACAGCAAAGCAAAGCGTTCATGGTGTCGAGGTTTTTACATCCTTTAAAAAAAAGTAAATTATTTAAAAATAACAACGATTACAAGTTATCTTCGTGCATTTGTTTCGAAGGTTTAACTTTATTAATATTTAATTTAATCGGCAGAATATGAAAAATTACAAATCTTTCATGACTGGTTGGGCCTTTTCTCTCATCTCATTCTTTCCCTAAGGGTTTTGGATGTCAGCATTCCCTCGAGCACCGATACATCTTTGGCGGATTCTTCGAACAATAAGCTATTTAACTCGTAAATTTTCTGCCGTTGAACTTGATTGTTTCATTCTTTTCGCTCCTGCTGCTTTATCAAGGCAAGATGTAACATAAAGAGTGTTTTTAAAACTTATTTTACAATAAAATTATTTACTTGTCAGCTTATGTTGTCTTCCTTGTTTTCTTTGTTTGTCCAAAAGCAATAACAACAACAACAACAACCCAAGTCAAGGAACTTACCGCGACCATTATTGAGAATTAAGACTCTTCTAATCTAGTAACACACATACCTGATAAGCTACGCTAAATGGATTGTCGTTTTATTTCATATGGATCGCCATTTGCTAAGTCGTAATTACGCCATAGGTTTTTCCACGGATACGTGATGTCGTTGTCTTTTGATTGGTAATCGCAAACGGAAGATGGCTTTATCTTCGTACATCCATTCAACACAGCTGTGCGCCAAAGAAAAAAAAAACAGACATAGACCCACATCTACGAAGCTTAAACAAATTGTTACATTAGAGAGCGTTGAATCGTCAAGCACCACTGTGAATTTGGTTATGTATGGTTTATCTGAGGTAGGTCAGTATAAGATATTACGGACTATATATTGGGTGTGAAATGCGGATTATGAACTGAAATAGTCGTGGGGCACTTGGGTTTTGCTTATATGGGAGAGTGTCATCCAGGCTAAAAAAAGACCTTGACAATGTTTAAGAAGGTAGCCTTTCCGATTTGTCTGCTCTTAAACAGACAAAACAAGTATTGTTTAGACTTTGGCATATCGACTCCTGTCAGCCATGTCTGGAATATATGCAGGAGGAATATATTCAAATTAGATTTGGAATGTGACACGCGTGCATCATATCCTGTTTAAGGCTTTCTGTCTACAATGGTAGGCTAAAAATTTAAATTGTACACCCAATTTAACCTCTTCACTCACCAGATCTCTTTTGTAATTCTCCTTACTGTCTGACATACAGTTCTCATATGCTGTCATTCAGAGAATTTACTTCTGGATCATCTAATAATCCCCTAATTGATGTTTTTTTTCTCATCTCTTATATGCTTGATATTGTAAGGAAAACTTCTGTGTCGGTCACTCATGGGAGTTCGAGGGACTGCCTCTCAGTTTGGAGTTCTTGGCGGACCATGCCTGTTTAGTAGAATTGTCCACCACCCTATCACCTCACAGGACGTTTCCGACATAAATGACAGGTTCAGATCGTGTTTATATTCAATCAGTAAGTTTACTTGTTCTTTGACCACTACAGAAAAGCGCAAAAATAGCACCCTGTTGGCTTTTGCACCCTTTTTGCTCTTGTATCGTGACCATTGACCGGGAGATCTCCCAGGAGACTAGTAACAACACGCAACAGAGTTGCTACTGTGCACGTAACTGTGAGGATTACGATTCGCGGTCAAAGGAATGTCTTGATTTTTCGTCGAAAGGCGAGAAGATGTGGACAAGAACCATCGGAAAAAATGGCTAAGGAGTCAAATCTTGTGTTTGTATGGCTTTTACTGTTGTGCTTCTTTGCGAGATCAAGACCAGAGCAGAATGAATCAGGTTAGTTTATTTCATCCGTTGTTACATTTGGTTAATTATCGTTACGTTCGGCTCCAAATTGAGTTTTTCAGGCCTTTCTGTCACCGCTGAGGACTCCCGGTACTAGGCGCAGTGACTTTGAAATCGCTATTTTAACCTCGACTCACAAATATTCAGGCAGGCCTAAAAAACTTCCACTAACAAAAATTAAGGTTCGCGTCAATCTCTGGACACTTAAAGTAACACAGAATCTGGCATATTCTTTGCGGTAGATACAGGCAGATACGTATTCTTCGCAAATTAAAGCTTAGATTTGATGCAGCTGAAATTAGTTCTTTTCATTGTCTAATTGTGTTGCCTCTGGGGTCATAGATCACAAAGAAAACTCTTCGATCCGTGTAAAAACAGTAGACAATAAACTATAATTGCGTGGAACGTATAATAAATGTTTATAGGTAGCGATCGTTAATACGGTCGAACGCTTGCACTCGCAGCGCACAATTGGTATTTAATTACTGTCGCTTGGGGGTTTTGCGCACTTAATTGTTCGTTTTCCCTTTACGGAGTCTTAAGATTTCGTTTCGTCGTAATAGTTCAATAACAAAACTTCATAGCTAGTACGTACATTTGAAATACGATATTTACGCTGGGTTTATTACATCAGAGGACGTGTTACTTAAAATTTTCTTAGAAAGAGAATTAACACAGAGACTGTGTTTTGTGGTTGATCAAGACTGAGGAAGTACTCGAGAAATCATTAAATCATTAGGTTCATGCTCAGGTTGTTTTAGTTTTTAAGTAAATGTAGAATTTTATGATAATTTGGAATTATGATTATGTGCGTAACAAGTGAAAACCCGATCCGTCGAAACATAAAACATCATGATAATATTACTCTCGATCGGATATGAAAAAAATTAGAGATCTGCTGAAACTATCACTCAGTTTTCAAAATTTCATCATTGAACAAGGTGAAAAAGATGGCTGGGACGCAAGCAATTCTCTCTAGTTGTGCACAAACATATATCGACTTTCAATTCCATTATCGGGGAGCTTGAAAAATAATCTTTTCCCCATGGTATGTTACGTAAATGCATAGTTTCAGATTTCCTTTAAGTTTTCAAAGTGCCAAGAAAGCGAGCTTATCATTCATAAAAAGGGAGAGAATGTTTTGTCGTGGCAGGGCATTGCGATAAATAATTTGCCCTATGTTTCTAAAACAAGCAGTGCACCTGTTTTTAGAATCGATTCTCCGTCCCTTCGTGGTGCACATTTTTGTGTATAACATATGGAATAACGCCTTTTTCACCCAGGTGATACACTGTAAGTGTGGATTTTTCTCTCTGATCTTAAGAAATGGACTGGGAATTTCTCCTTTGACAAACTGACTGTCAGAGAGTGTGCACCTTTTGGTGTAGAAAGGTCTCCTCAAGATATAAAAAAGGCAGTTCACATGTTGAGCCATGATTCTTAAGTTCTGAGGAATATCCAGTTATCAAAAATCTGCTTTATGTATCATAAGTAAAAAAACAAATTCCAACTTTCTTATCTTGTCCTAGACATGGGATCAGGGGAACATCAGACTTCCGGATTATAATTATGTTCTGATACTCTACTACAGTTGGTAGAGGGTAGCTGTTCTTGACAATTATTTAATTCACAGGTGGCAAGGGGTAAGAGTCACGAATAGTTGCAATTTACAGGAGCTTTACTCAAATAACTCTGTAGACCTTTCATCAGTATACAAATTTTCCACACTTTTCTCTGTTTGTTGTGCATTTCCTATAGAACTGAAAAGGAGGAATTGGTTAATAATCAAGATTTTTCTCAGTAGACTATCATTTTTTTTATTCTCATGACTTTATTGTTTAATTGTGTTTTGAATAACACTGTTAATTTTTTCTCTACATAAAAAGTTCAATATGAGAAAGCAAGAAAGCAAAAAAGCAAAAATTGTCTATTGAAAAATGGAAGAAGTCTTTCCGGAAGAGACAAGGGGTTCCTGGTTGGCTTGACCCCCAATTTTTTTTTCTATTTTTACTCACTTGTCACGCTTTTCAGTTCTTCCGGTTTGTGACTTAAATACCTGTGTCAAATTGATGCAGCTATTGACAAGAAGCAGTGCTTGTATGGCGTCAATAATTTGCTTCAGTTGGAGCGCCATACAGCACAAGTTTGATTTGAAATCATGATTAGACTAAAATTATACAACACAACATTCAATGACATGTACCACTTTATTATATCCATCGTGAGATTGAAAAATTCAGTTGCTCAGATGCAGGATTTTTTAGTCTGTGCAAATGTTTTGTTGATCCAGTAGTAAGCTGCTTTGTAGAAAGTTGCAAGTTAAGGTTATTTCCCACTGTTACAGGTGTCATTCAGAAAAAATTTGTATACGCACGGGTTTCACTAAAATCCTAGTGAACTATGCATCATAAGAAAGCCTTTCTTCTGATCATAGAAGGTTTGTTAATTGCAGATTACAATAAAAATGTAATTTAAGCAACTTTTCTTTTAAAGAGGTGTCAGGAGCTGGTAAGGTGTGAAATGACCGAAGGTTCTTCTATTGAATTTATCGGGTATTGGATGCTACAGCAGGAGCAAAATGGTTGAAATCTGGACGCCAGCTTGGAGCTCTTCTAGTACAAGTCACTTTCACAAAGGATTCTTTTTCTTTTTTGACAGAATGATACTCTTTCTTTCCTTCTTTACCAAGGATTATCTTCCGGTTTTGGATTTTCCATGAGCAAAGATCTTTCCATAAGCAAAGAGCTTCCGTTTGTGAGTTTTTTAAAGTGCGCAATGTAAACAAAATATAGAAATGACACCAAAAATGAGCCCTATCATGAGTAGTTGCCACGAAAAATTCCTCTAGGGGATTTGCCCAGGTCCAAGATAGTGACACCATCCTGATTTATTAACTTTTAGTTAAAAGTATATTTTTCTAAATAACTTGGGTGCTTTTAAAGATTTCTATTAAAGATTACTATTTAAAACCTCTCACAACTCTTTATTTTTTCTTCTTATTTTTTCTTTTCAAGTGCCATGGTACATTGGCTGTTACAATAACAGGGATGTCACTAATGGCTACATTAGTAAAGGCTCATCCCACACATCTGCTCAAAGGGATCCTATGACACCAGTGAACTGTGTCAGTCAGTGTGTTAAGCGGTAAGTGTTATTTGGTGAGTTGAAAAGATAAAGTTTGGGGAAAACAAAATTAGTTGTTTAGGTTAGGTTCATTCCACCTTAAAGTCGCTTTTTTAATTTTCTTTTTTATGACGACACTGTAATTGCAATTAACTTGGTGAAGATTGATGAAACTGGTATCTGTAGGTTGGTTTTGATATAATGCCAAATTCTCCACGTTAAATTTTCCTTGGAAATACATGAATATTCAGAAAGGGAATTAAGCAGTTTGTTTATCAGAATTCAGTTAGAACTTTTTCCCCAACAACATAGCCTTCACTTGTTTTAAAAGCATATGGCTAATAACCCTTAGTGTCACCCTTCACAATAAATCAGTTTAAACCCTTTAAATACCGACACACACTGTTCTCCACAAATAGGGGAGAAGCTGGTTTCCTTTCAATTCTTGTTTCTGAAGGGC